ATCTTACCTTCCAGGCATGATTCACAAGTTGGATAGTGCTCTTCCAATGGACCAAGAATTCCATCGGCCACTAACTTTTGAATCCTCCTAAGGTTGAAGTTCCAAGTCTAAGGTGCCAAAGATATGCTTGATTCATACTCGAAGATTCCTTCCTCTTATTAGATTTAGTCATGATATTATTCAATTCAGTTTGTTGCAGTGTGGGAGGTTTTGGTTTAAGAACATATAAATTGCCAACTTATGAACCAGAACACATGAAACATTTCCCATAACGAATAATAAGCATATCATCAAACGTAAATGAAAAACCATCCATAACGAGTTTAGAAACTAAAATAAGATTCTTTCTAAAGTCAGGAACATAAAGGCAATGCCTCAAAACCAAACTACTACTATCAAAAGAAAAAGTATATATCCTACTACAACAGCTGCCACTTTCGTAGCATCGCCCATGTAGACGGTGATCTCTCCCTCCCTAAGCTATCTAGTTTTCTAGAACCCCTGCAATGAATTGCAGACATGATCAGTGGCTCCAGTATCTACACACTAGGTTCTGGTAGATACTGTTGGTGTTATATACTTAAGCTTTGCTTTAGTGGATATTACACTTGTTATTCCTTGATGAATGAGAATTATGTTTGGTTAAATAAGTTCCACGTTCTGTTTTTTAGCATGTAGATAAGTGGGTCGTCATCGGGCATACCGAAGATCACTATATCAGTTACTTGCGAAACAAGAATCGTTGGTTCACAACCTAGATGGAATTGAACAACCCATCAGAATGGTTGTAGTGTCAACCATACGGTTTGTCTTGACCGATTAGTTGCACTAGTACATTTATGTATTGAACAGGATCCCAGAGAGGGATGTTCGTTTTATACTAATCATCGTAAATGAACTAGGCCTCAGTTAATTATTGCGTGCTCTTAACTCGTAAGATATTAAATAGCCATGTGCACATAATTGTTGTTGCTTTAATTCTTTGGGTGAGATCCAAGCCGGGTCGACATACTTAATGAATTGGGTAATAACA